ATGTTACATTTCATTTTTCACAATTTTTAGTGAATTTTCAAATCATTATAAGAACACGTGTCTTATTTGTCGTCACACACGCTGAGTCTCGCTGCACGCCTGCCCGAATTCTCGAATAGACGACGACATTACGAAATCATACATATTAATATATTATATACAGTTGCGAACATACTACAGACTTGACTTGCTATTAATCAGGTAAAATGTAAATATAAATTTAACTTAAAAAGCTTAGTTAACATATTATTAACAAAAGTTTACTTACCTATCTAGTATATATAGGTTAGGTATACTGAGTATACTCAGTCAAAAAAATATAATATAAGCATGTAATGATGTTACACTCAATACCGATAGCTGTAACCTAGTCTTTCCTGTATTTTTATATTAATTTAGTTATGAATAATGATATCATATATTCTATATTATACATTAATGTAACTATAGTGCTTTACAATTGTATAGATCCATAAATGTTTTAGGCATTATAACTTGTAAAATTATTATCTATGGTATATTCTATGGTACTGTAGTGCACTTGAGAGCCAAATTTTTGCAAAGTTGGGTTAAAAAGAAGGTACCAATTACTTAATTTTATTTTAATTAGATAAGAACCACCTAGATCACACATAATAAAATAGGTAATTATTATTATTAAGATTATATTAAGATGTATCTATTAAAATAATTGTGTAGTTACGATTAAAATCATTAATAAAGGGCTAAATAAAAAAAAAAATCTAGGTTCCTAAATACTTATTATATTATGTTAAATATAATATAATATATTTGTTAGTTATAACTTATAACTCAACATTATAATTTAAATAATATATTGATTTGACTGGATAAATATTATTATTATATAAATAGTTAGGTATAGCTGTATAAGTATAATAGGTAATATTTTATCAAATAATATTTTACAGTGATTTATTAAAAACAAAGAATACACTTATTTACTGGGTATTTTATACATTTATAATAAAGTAGGTACAATGTACATACAGTTACTAAAGACCTGGTTTTACATGTAATGCATGTTCATATTTTTATAAGCAATTAGGTACATGCAATAAATAGATTTTCATTGATCATACTTGAGTAAAGAAAATTGCGAATTTTGCATATTTTGGGTGTGAGTGCATATTTTCCATAGAAACATATGGTTTGCATATTACCTACTTATGCATTTAAATTATTTTATTTTATTATTTTACATACAGTTATTATATAATAGGTTTGTTCGTTTTGAAAAAAAAGTGTACACTAATGTTTAGTGTTTAGTGTCTGGGGAAAGTGTAAGGGGTGTGATCAGAAATCTGTTTTCAAAACAAACGTTTAATTTGTAAATTTGTAAAATTTGTAAATTAATCAGCTGATAATTTTTATATAGAATGAACTATTCGCTGATAAAAAATGATAACGATCAACACCTATACCAACTACACCTGCTCTTAGGTCGATGTGAAAAAAGTGTACACTGATGTAACACTTTTTTAAAACAAACGCTTTATGAAATGAATATTATAATATATATATATTATTATAAAAGTACGTTTATCCAACGTTGAACATTCGTTGATGTTTGGTTGGTCGAACTTACATCGAAATATGGGTAAGGATAAACATATATTTTACGTTTAAGTTACGTCGAGTCGCGTGGGACCGGCTTAATTAAACGTGAAATGTAAAATATATGTTTATATGTTTATATTTTACATTTCACGTTTAATTAAGCCGGTCCCACGCGACTCGACGTAACTTAAACGTAAAATATATGTTTATCCTTACCCATATTTCGATGTAAGTTCGACCAACCAAACATCAACGAATGTTCAACGTTGGATAAACGTACTTTTATAATAATATATATATATTATAATATTCATTACACATATTAGATGGCAGAAGCCCGCTATAATAATATTATATACAGCTATACAATTTAGTATTTATACATATTTATAATAAGAAATAAGAATAATATTCCCGATTATATGGGGAAATACAAAATTATTCTGTTAATAACTTATAAATAAACGTTAGCCAGTTAATGATATCGCCGTATCGGTGTTCCTCCACCCCACCGATCCTTGCCAACTCAAAATAACATAGACCGCCATAGAACGCCATTTAATTATTATCGCGTTAATACTCAATTCGTCTTCAATCATTTATACACGTTTCTCATTTGTCGTCGCACACGCTGAGTCGCTGCACGCCTGCATGAATGCTGAAATAGACGACGACATTACGAAATCATACAAATTATATACAGTTGCGAACATACTACAGACTTGACTTGCTATTAATCAGGTAAAATGTTTCCTTTTTTAGTATACATAATTAGTAGTTTCACACATTGTGCTTCTGTACTTTCGAAGTCAATAATAATAAATAATAATTCATAGATATTAGATAGGTACCAATCCAAAATAAACAATGTTACATTTCATTTTTCACAATTTTTAGTGAATTTTCAAATCATTATAAGAACACGTGTCTTATTTGTCGTCGCACACGCTGAGTCTCGCTGCACGCCTGCCCGAATGCTCGAATAGATGACGACATTACGAAATCATACATATTAATATATTATATACAGTTGCGAACATACTACAGACTTGACTTGCTATTAATCAGGTAAAATGTTTCCTTTTTTACTATACATAATTAGTAGTTTCACACATTGTGCTTCTGTACTTTCGAAGTCAATAATAATAAATAATAATTCATAGATATTAGATAGGTACCAATCCAAAATAAACAATGTTACATTTCATTTTTCACAATTTTTAGTGAATTTTCAAATCATTATAAGAACACGTGTCTTATTTGTCGTCACACACGCTGAGTCTCGCTGCACGCCTGCCCGAATGCTCGAATAGACGACGACATTACGAAATCATATATATTAATATATTATATACAGTTGCGAACATACTACAGACTTGACTTGCTATTAATCAGGTAAAATGTAAATATAAATTTAACTTAAAAAGCTTAGTTAACATATTATTAACAAAAGTTTACTTACCTATCTAGTATATATAGGTTAGGTATACTGAGTATACTCAGTCAAAAAAATATAATATAAGCATGTAATGATGTTACACTCAATACCGATAGCTGTAACCTAGTCTTTCCTGTATTTTTATATTAATTTAGTTATGAATAATGATATCATATATTCTATATTATACATTAATGTAACTATAGTGCTTTACAATTGTATAGATCCATAAATGTTTTAGGCATTATAACTTGTAAAATTATTATCTATGGTATATTCTATGGTACTGTAGTGCACTTGAGAGCCAAATTTTTGCAAAGTTGGGTTAAAAAGAAGGTACCAATTACTTAATTTTATTTTAATTAGATAAGAACCACCTAGATCACACATAATAAAATAGGTAATTATTATTATTAAGATTATATTAAGATGTATCTATTAAAATAATTGTGTAGTTACGATTAAAATCATTAATAAAGGGCTAAATAAAAAAAAAAATCTAGGTTCCTAAATACTTATTATATTATGTTAAATATAATATAATATATTTGTTAGTTATAACTTATAACTCAACATTATAATTTAAATAATATATTGATTTGACTGGATAAATATTATTATTATATAAATAGTTAGGTATAGCTGTATAAGTATAATAGGTAATATTTTATCAAATAATATTTTACAGTGATTTATTAAAAACAAAGAATACACTTATTTACTGGGTATTTTATACATTTATAATAAAGTAGGTACAATGTACATACAGTTACTAAAGACCTGGTTTTACATGTAATGCATGTTCATATTTTTATAAGCAATTAGGTACATGCAATAAATAGATTTTCATTGATCATACTTGAGTAAAGAAAATTGCGAATTTTGCATATTTTGGGTGTGAGTGCATATTTTCCATAGAAACATATGGTTTGCATATTACCTACTTATGCATTTAAATTATTTTATTTTATTATTTTACATACAGTTATTATATAATAGGTTTGTTCGTTTTGAAAAAAAAGTGTACACTAATGTTTAGTGTTTAGTGTCTGGGGAAAGTGTAAGGGGTGTGATCAGAAATCTGTTTTCAAAACAAACGTTTAATTTGTAAATTTGTAAAATTTGTAAATTAATCAGCTGATAATTTTTATATAGAATGAACTATTCGCTGATAAAAAATGATAACGATCAACACCTATACCAACTACACCTGCTCTTAGGTCGATGTGAAAAAAGTGTACACTGATGTAACACTTTTTTAAAACAAACGCTTTGGTGTACACTTTTTGTTAAAACGAACAAACCTAATATTAATGTATTCCATAACACAAAAATTTAAAATATTTTTTTAAATAATATAATACTTTGTTTCCGAAGAATCATTAGATAGGAGGACCTACCCACCTAATAATTTTGATTCACATTCAAAATCTTATATTTTAGCATCAACAGTTCTTGAGGAAACAATAATAATACCAAACCAATTTTTCTGCTTACAAATACCTACATTATTACAAACTGTTGGTGTAATTTAACAAATACCAATATAGAAAATATTATCATTACTTAAAGTTTTTCCAATGTTTAAATTTTATATTTTTTTCATCATTAATTTTTCATTATTTCATCCTATTTTGTTTTTATAACTTAATAATAAATAAAAGCAGCTATTGTAGATAATTTACTGTATAGGTTAAAAATAAATTATATAATATTATTTTTACTGTAAATTATGATTTTTAATAATTTTGTGTTAACTGATAATTAATAAATAAATAGCTGTAACAATATATAATATACATAAAAATTAAATTGCAAAATATTTAAAAATTATTTTGCATATTTTACAATTTAAAATGCATATAAATCTGGTTTTTACATAACTTAACTAAACCTTATAATTTATGTCAATAAAGGAAATTTACCTGTTTTTTTTTTTTCTCAAATTTTTAGCAACTTAATTTTGTTGTTATAATTAGAAATGCCAAAATACGCATTTAAGCCAAGCTGTAGTTTATCTAAAAAATCAAGAATAAAAAGACAAAATCTAAGTACCTCTACTGAGTGCAACATTGTATGTACTCCGCTCATTAACCAAGAAGAACACCCAACGCCCGTAATTCTAGGAGTCCATAACTCTATCAGAATCACCGCAGAACCGTTTTCACATACTGACAATCAACATATTTTAGAAAATGTGGAATTAGAATCGACTGAAAATGCATCTCAAGAACAAAATATGCACAATGAATTAATACATAATATTTCTGATCCAAATATTTTCCAATCAAAACTTTCTGAGTACATTATTTCATCAAGAACTCCAAGAAGAAGTGCCACTAAGTTATTGAAATTACTCAAGTCGGTAGATACATTAAATTGTTTGAAGTCACTTCCCCAGGATTCAAGAACATTATTATCTACCCCTCGATCGGGCCAAGTTAATTTGACAAAAATTGGAGGTGGTGAATATGTTCACTTTGGTATATCTACTGGATTGTTACATACATTGAAACATTTTATACCTGTTAAAAACCTATCAATATTAGATGTATGGTTCAATATCGATGGACTCCCAATTGACAAAAAAGGAAAGTCTTTTTGGCCCATACTATGTGCTATTTGTTTTGAGTCTACTATCATGAAACCTTTTATTGTTGGTGCTTATTTCGGATCTAAAAAACCGTCTAATGTTCAGGAGTATCTTTATCCTTTTATTGAGGAACTTAATCAACTTCTTGAACATGGTTTGGCTATAGATGACAACACCATAAACATAAATATGAAAGGTATAATAGCTGATGCGCCTGCCAGGGCTTTTATGAAACAAATCAAAGGTCATTCTGGTTACTTTGCTTGTGAGAAATGCATTGAGGAAGGTATTTATTTGTCAGGAAGTATAAGCTTTCCCAATGGAACAGCTCAGCTTCGTACTGATGAGTCATTTGTTTCCTCTTTAAACGAAGAACACCATGTAGGAGTTTCTCCGTTATTAGAAATTTCTGGTTTTGGACTTGTGTCATCTATTCCATTAGACTACATGCATTTGTGTTGTCTAGGAATAATGAAAAAAATTTTAAGTTTTATGATTAGAGGCACTTTAGTTCCAAATTCTTGTGGTTCTATTCGTCTGTCTAGGGACCAAATAGAACGTATCAATCGACGTATGAAAATTACTGCACAATGGCTAAGTAAAGATTTTTCTCGTATTCCTCTCGATCTGAATGATTTCAAAACTTACAAAGCCACTGAATTACGTCAAATAATGCTATACACAGGACCATTCATTTTCAAAAATATTGTTAGTCAACTGGTATATGATAACTTTTTGATATTTAACATTATAATGAGAATACTAAGTTGCACAAAAACAGTCACCAATAATAATGAATATGCAGATGTACTAGCTAAACACTTTTTAAGTACATTTTGTTTTGTTTATGGTCGGGGGAATGTGTCTTATAACGTGCATTCAATTATTCACTTACCTCAAGATGCTAAAAAGTATGGGGTTGTAGACAATTTTTCATCATTTCCATTTGAAAACTATCTACAACACATAAAGAAAATTGTTCAACCAGGTCATTCTCCGTTAATTCAACTATATAATCGGATTACAGAAGAGCGTGAATGTGATTTATTAAATGCTCATGTATCATCCATCCATTATCCATATTTAAATGGTGATCATTGTAATGGACCATTGCCAGTTAACATAAGCAATATTACTATAGCTCAATACTCAGTATTATTTATGCAAAATTTTACAATTCGAGTGTCCAATAATAACCCAAGAAGTACTAAAAAAGATGATTGTATCATAATTTCTTCTAATGTAATTGGCATTGTTCAAAATATTTTGAAAATCAATGGAAAAATTCAATTACTTTGCAAAACGTTTCAACACATTTCATCTCTTTACAATGAGCCATGTACTTCCAAATCAGTTTGTGTGTTTGAATGTAGTAAATTATCTGCTACTTTAACATTATTTTCGATTGAAGATGTAAAATTTAAGGCCTGCTATTTACCAAATGACTTGCAACAAACAACTTTTTATGTTTGTGCCTTACTTCACACAATTAATTAGAATATAATTATTAGATATATAACATAAACATAGCAACACTGATAATAATTAAATTACTACAAAATTTTGTTTGTATGTAATTTATTTTATTGTATAAATTTATTTATAATTTGTATAATATATAATATACAATATTTTACTTCTTTGTAGAATGGAAACAACTCAAAAATATATAATTGTACAAAGTCTAGATGATAAATATAGTATAAATGCCATTCCACAAATATGGCTTTTCAATAATACCGACATTAGTATTGGAAACATTTGTGACTGGTATTACCCGACAGATATGCCAATAAAAAAATCTGAATTTTATACTCCATTTGAAGATGATTGGGTTAAAAAATCTGGCAAAGCATTACATATAACAGGTAAATAACATAAAATATTTAGATGTTCCAAATAATATAATCTCCATTTATATGTCAGAAATTATATAGTGTTAAGCAACAACATTTTTAATATTTTTATTATTATTACTTCAATGGGATAATGGACCCACTGAACATGTTTGTGTGGGTTCATGAGTGCAATACTATTAAATAATAGATATAAGTATACTTATTTAATCATGAGCTAATGTCAATGTGTATTATTTTATTAAAGATTCATATCTTTCTGCAAATTTTTTTGTTATGATGGAAAAATTAAGAATTTATAAATTTGTTATAATTGAGTTTCTCAATGAAAGTTCGATTGAAGTTGTTCCAAAATCTTGGATTATAATTGATAATAATCATCAGCAATTCATCTGTCAATGGCCTGAAAAAGTAAATATTACAAAATACGCATCAACTCAAAAAAAACCACTTGATTCGTGGGAAAGTTTTCCCTGTTGTCCTCGAAAATTTTTCAGTAAGATATTTTGAATTGAATTACCTACATGTTTTTCTTGTACATTTGAATATTCTGTGTTAAACTTATGTAAATATTTACTCAACAAAATTAATTAATCACTATATGTCTATATCTAGATACATATTCTGAAGCCAAACGTAGACTTATAAAGTTCTGCGAAACTAGTGCTACTGAAACTGAAGAATTAGTAACTTCTAAGCCTAGAGTTCGTATTCAAAAACGTAAATATTCCTCTGAAGAGGAGACATCTTTCATTACTACATTGAATAATCAAAATTTGTCCCGAAATGTTAAAGGTGTGTACTATGGTATAACATTTTTCTTACTTAATTTATAAATTATTTATATTAGACAGCAATTTTTCAAAGGTATATATTTAGGTATAATTTGAAATTTATATTGATACAATTATTTTTTTATTTTTTTTGTTAATAGTCACTCAACATACTGAAGTCCAGGAAGGTATAAGTAATATTCCAAAACCAAAAAGTATGACATCCACATTTAAAAACTATATAAAATATATTTTAACTTTTAATACTAAAAAGATATGATTTAAAATAATATACTGACAAAATACAATGACAAATTATTTACTGTTGTAGAACCGATTAATTTTTTGGGTTCTGATGATGAAAGCCTTCAACAAACTAACATTCATGATGATGATCTTGGGCTTCAGGGTCATATACTTCAAGATTGCAGTTCATCTAGTCCAGAAATGTTTCCAGAAAAGAACCCTTTAAAAGGTATTAGACTTCATAATGCAATATTATACATATTATATTTTTTTTTTTTTTATCAGATTTTATTATATTAAGATATAATTACTGCTTAACATTTGAACAAATATGAATAGTTAAATAGTTAAATATTTAAACAAAAAAATGTTCCACTAGATCATTAACTTTAAATTGGTAAATTATGTTTTGTATTTATTACAGACTACAGTCAAGATGAACGCATTATAAGTATTCATAATATGTTGAACAACATTGGTCATGCTGTTATGGATGGTACTATAACCCATTTTGATTACCTACCTATGAATAATAATTATCAAATTTTATTTTGTTGTTAGTTTCAAATGAGCTTAAAACATTAAAAAAAGAAATCCATGTTATTAAAGTTGATGTTATGAAAAATCAGGAAATATTAAATAGTTTGGCTGAAAATGACCGCCGTACAGTGTCTTCTGTAGACACAAGACAAGTGATAAATAGAGCTAGCTTAAAAATTCCGGTTCAAACTATTTCCGAATTAAATGAAATTGAAGAAGATGAGGACAAACTCAGCACACTGGTAAGCTATTATAGTTGGTTTTGTTAAATATTATTAATTATTCTACTATTTGATTATTTTTAGGCCCGTATTTTACAAAGAGATGCCAGATCATTTGATGCTAAACGAACAACTTACATGGCCATGAAACTCATCATGCAAAATCGAGTGGCTGAATTTTTGAATATGGAGGGGAGAGGGGATAAAACAGCATTTGTTAAATACAAAATATATACAACTGTTATAGGTAGATATTCATATGTTTGTCCCTTTAATTTTATCTTCTCTTATGACTAAATATTTTTGTTCATTAAAAATTAATTGCCAATAACATAATTAAGTACCTATTTGAATCATATTTAAATAATATGTCTATGCAATTCAAAACTACGCATTTAACCACATGGCATACTTAAAGTACATCAATTTATTTGGTTATGTGAGAGACGAACAAATAATAATAAGTATCTACAGAGCCGTGTCAAGGGATGGGAGGGAGGGGTAAGTAAAGGGGACAATTGTCCCTGGGCGACGTAATTTTTTTTTATAAGTAAAGCCTTTATTTGCGCTTAATATGCTATCTGTGTCCCCAAAAGAAATATTGCCCCTGGGCGCTGAATTGCTTGACATGGCTCTGAGTAACTGGTTAGGCAGCTAGCTTCTTCTCTTCACTCAGAATATAATATTTGTTGTTTAATGAAATCTACTATTTAATATTTCAAAACTGTGATAGTTATTTTTGATTTGTGTTGTAGATTGCGTCAAAGATATTTTTCCAATAGTATCACTAATCGAAATAAAGGGCCATATTAGTGATTGGTTGAAACAAGCTCCAAGAAGGAAATAAATATATATTAATGATATATACAATTGTATTTAATTATTATTATTATTTAATTTTTTGTATTGTGCCATATAAAACTAAATAATGTTGTTTAAGAAATAAATATTTTTTTTTACTGATAACAGGTATACCCAAAATATACAGTATAGGTATATTACTATACCTATTAAACATTTGACTAAATATAATAGAAATATGTATCCCTGATTATACACTTGCCGTGCAAAAAAATGTACTGTATCATCACTGACTCTTATACATTATACACTATAATACACTCGATAATACATATTACATACACTACATATAAACTTACTATGTACACTAAGTAGGCGGTAACAAATCTATAGCCAATGTTGTGCAAATTAGTCATTTTTTTTAACTAGTTAAAGTTAGAATATAAGTTGGTTTATGAAGTTTTAAAAATGTCCAACTTATAGAAGTTAGTTTGGGGGTAAAAATAACTTAAGCTTGAGTAGAAGTTAGAAATTAGTTTTTTTTAAGTTTAAAATATAAATTTAAAAACCCAATTGTTCATACTTTGTAAATTGTGGTGAGGTATTAAAATAAATTAATAATAAGATATCTTACTAAATTATATCAATCACAAAATGCTCTGAATATTAATTATCCTGTGATTAATATTCATTCAGAACTCATCAGTTTTACGGAACATACTGAAGATATAATGATGTTTGCAGTGGAGCAGTGGAAAATAACTTTGTTTCTAACAAATTCAATTAGATTATTTTACACATTAAATTTGACTATAGTTAAGTTAGTAAGTTATTATGAATTAAAAGTAATTAGATAAGTTTAAAAGTTCTTTAATTGTAACTTTCTAACTAATCTTTAACCTTCCAACTAGTTAGTTGTTAGTTAGTGTTCAGATTTTCCCATAACCTATTATACACCCACCATAAACCATATAGGTATTATAATATTATATACCTAGTATACACCAAATATATACTTAATATGTGGTACCTATATACACTTTGCATATACCAAATCTAAACTTAGTATATACCTATTATCCATTAAGCGTAAACCCTATATATACTTAGTATATACCAAATATTATATACTTAATATGTACCTATATACACTTTGCATATAACATATATACACTGACTATATACCTATTATCCATTAAGCATAAACCCTATATAAACTTAGTATACACCAAATTTATACTTAATATGTAGGTATATTATACACTTTGCATATACCATATATACACTGACTATATACATATTATACACCAAATATAAACTTAGTATACACCAAATATATACTTAATATGTACCCATAATATGTATATTATACACTTTGCATATACCATATATACACTGACTATATACATAATATGTACCTATTATCCATTAAGCATAAACCATATATACACTGACTATATACCTATTATACACCAAATATATACTTAATATATACCTATATACACTGAGCATTTACCAAATCTAAACTTAGTATATACGACCCATACACATCATTTATACTACTCATACACGTAATTTATTCGTATTTATACTGCCATTAAGCATATTACCTACGAAATATACACCATTTTTTCACTAACTCTATATGTATAATAGACCAAGAATAAACCATTTTTACACTGACATTATACATGTTGCGAAAATGTATTTAACTGACATTAAACGTATTTTATATGAAAAATATACCGCATTTGTACGTTGAATATTAGTGAAATAGTTCCCTTTTGACCTACAAATATACTTCAATTATTGGTTAAATAATCGAAATCTCTACATATATTATACGTATTTAAGTGTCAGTATATTCGTTTAATATACGTAGAATATACGTAGATTTGTCTACTGGGACGTTGTTGGAACAAATCTGACTGTTGTATATATTGTGAAAAAAATGTAACTTATTTTACAAGGCATATATTTAGAAACCATTCTACTGAAATAGATGTCATTCGTTACAATTCACTAAAAAAAGGGTCAAAGGAGAGACAAGTTCTTGCTGATGAATTACGTAAACGTGGAAACTTTTTAAGTAATGTTGGTGCTGACAAACCCACCAAACCTGTAAGACGCCCAAATGAATTTTCTAAAATACCTTCAAATGCATGCGATTACCTTCCATGTAAGCACTGCTATGGTTTATTCAAAAAAAAATATTTGTCCAGATGAAAAGGTCGGGTACTAAAAATATTATTGAGTAATGCCCGGACACCAGAAATACTTCGCGCGCACCACTAATCACCTACCGACTCTTGTACACTGTGACGTATGGTGTGTATGTGTGTGAGTAACTCAGTCGGCAGCGGTCGGGATCGCCTCACGAGTACCGACGAGCTACGTAATGTGAATGTGGTGTGTATGTGTGTATTAGGGTGACAATCGAATACATAGAAAAAAAAAAAAAATTAATATTTCTTTTTTCCTACCCACCTTAAATGTTTATTTTGATATAATATAATATACTTTGTGAAAGTTATATTTCATTCGGTTGATATTTAGAGGTCGCGCAACACTTTTATTTTCCGAAGCTATTAATAGCATGGATATCGCAATTTCGCTCGCGTTATCGAGATAGAACGAGATCTAAATAGAACGAAAGTAAGTGATCGAAATGCAATGTATGTTTTATCAGCTATACAGTACAATCATTAGGGCATAATATACACAATTTCACCCTTAATCGAGAATCAATAAGACAAGCTCGTCGAGAATATCGAGAAAAAATCGCTGATGAAATAAAAACTTCATTTGCTACGACTATTGTCAATGGAATATTGGGACGGAAAATTACTTCCAGATTTAACTTCAAAAGATTAAGTTGATCACCTAGCAGTTATAGTATCAGGGGATGGTATTATGAAATTACTTGGTGTGCCGAAAATTCCAAATGGAACTGGGGAAGCCCAAGCAGCTGCAGTGTTTGAGTTACTTAAAGAATGGAATTTAATTGAACGCATTAATTTTATGTCCTTTGATACAACAGCAAGTAACAGTGGAATAAAAGCCGGTGCGTGTGTACTTCTTGAAAAAAAAATGAAAAGAGACCTCCTCAGTTTAGCATGTCGACACCACATACTGGAACTTATTATTGAGAATGTGTTTAATGCGGTAATGGGAGCTTCAAGTGGTCCTAATATCAAAATATTTCAACGATTTGCAGAAAAGTGGAACGAAATTGACGTAGACAAATACGAAAGTGGAATAATTGAAGATACTGTGGCTAGTAAATTAAATCCACAAAAATATGTTCTTGTCAAGTTAATCAATGACCAGTTAGCGACATTTCAGCCTAGAGATGACTACAAGGCATTGCTGCAACTTTCCCTAATATTCCTAGGAGATAAAACTGCTAAAGATTTTAAGATTCGTAGACCTGGCGCTTTACATCGAGCTAGATGGATGGCAAAGTTAATTTATAGATTGAAAATTTTCTTATTACTGAAATATCTATTATATTTTTAATACAAGTTTCGCAACCAGTAAAAATTGAAATTTTTTATGAACGTTGTTATTAGATGGAGAAACAATTTAAGCAGGTGGGACTTTCAGAAATAATTTTTTTTTTTATTGTCACCCTAGTGTGTATTTGTGTGGGTGTGTGCTTAAAAAACTAATAATAAAAGGTAACACGTTTCAAGTACATAATTAATTGCTGTATAATTCATGATATCAATAATAACAAATTTTACTAATACAAAAATCACAGCAACACCATGATATAATAATAATTAATATGACAAAAATATAATGATAAAATAACTCACAGTTTGTGGAGCGCAGTCTGGCCAGTTGATCCTAGCTATATAATGAGAATAATGGTTTCACACACACACAAGATAAAAAAATATAATAATTTTGGCGATTCGCGCCTTGACAAATACAATAATAATAATAATTTTACGTGGCCCTTCTGGCCCAACAACTAGGTATAAATACTAGGTACGCGACACACACTATATTATGTCAATACAATAATACGCCGCGACGATCAGCGCTCGCGGGTATAAAAACAATAATAATATTAATAAGCGCACAATACACAGACTAAAAAATACAATAATAATTTACGCGGCGATTAGCGCCAACATAATACAATCTTTTTACTGGCAATTCGTGCCGACAAAAACTATAAATTCATTTATAAAACGGCGATTTGCGCACGTAATAACGGGTGTTTCGATTCACTAGGTATGCAAAACTGTACTGCCGCATTTGCGGCGGCCTATGTTGACCGATACCGCGTCGCGCCCTAATCTACATATTATATAATTCACAGCTGACACAATTATAACAAAAATAAACAATAATAATAATCCTGATACAAATAAAACAAATAATATTATGTGCGTGCGTGAATGTGTGTGTGAGCCGGTCGGTGGAGGGATATATGGCGATGACACCAGACATGAAAAAATTTGTAAAAGTTCAAAAACTGAACAAATAGGAAGAAATAAGGCCCAAAGTGATGCTCAAAATTTACTTTTGGCATTCACTGATAATGATTCGCAACTTACCAAAGAAGTCTTCCCTCGGATGGCAGCTGATGATATATCAAGGATTGCTAAAACAGATCACTTGATAAAATCGTTTGGTTCAAGATATTTAAAGTGTCACCGTGAAAAGCGTTTAATTAACGTTGTCTCTCAAAAAATGAGATAACTTGCTCGTCTTCTTATTCAAGTTAAACTCAATGAACCTTCTGTTCATAATTTATATGACTGCTTAAATCCAAAGTTGATTCTGTTGTAAAGTGTACAAAATAGGTTGCTGGATATGATGCATCGAATGATAAATTTGGATCCCCTTCAGTTATACTGAAAATGGGAAGTGCTTTAAAGCAATGTTGTGACATTGCCGAATTTCAGATACTTACAGGTAGTATAAACTTAGTTATGGAAAATGAACAATGCCTTTTAAGAGAATCGTTTGTTAATATGAGGATGATAATTGATAAACAGTGGTCGTATGAAGTATCTACAAATGCTTGTAAAGAGTTGTATCAGACCAAATGGAACAAACCGGCATACCTACCACTTACATCTGGCATTAAATTATTTAGAGACTATTTAATCAAAGTTCAGAATAATTGTGTTAAAGACCTTAAAAATGATCCACATAATTTAAAATCATACAGGTAGTTACAAGAAAGTATACTAGCTCAACTCATATTACTTAACAGAAGGAGATCCGGAGAAGTACAACGCATTTTATTAGAAACATATAATTCAGCTCCCTCAGAACTTTGTCTAGAAGAGGTGGAACTATCATTGTCTGTGATAGAGCAACAACTTACCAAACAATTCAAAAGGATTTTAATTCGTGGCAAACGTGGTCGAGGTGTACCAGTTCTTTTTACACCAAACATGCAAAAGGTAATAAAATGTTTACTTCAAATAAGGAACGTTACAAATTTTATCGACAAAGAAAATCCATATTTATTTGCATTACCATTTTCAATGAGCTGCTTAAGAGGTTCAGACGCAATAAGGAAGTTCAGCAACGAGTGTGGAGCTAAAAATCCTGAAAACATTACATCCACCTGGTTGAGAAAGCAAGTTGCCACTGTTGCACAATTATTAAATTTATCCGAAGGTGATATCGAACAACTTTCAACCTTCCTTGGACATTCAAAAGAGGTTCACAAAAGCTTTTATCGGCTATCCGAAAGTGCATTTCAAGTTGCAAAAGTCAGTTAACTACTTCTGATGATGGAGAAAGATCAAGGCCATGAATACAGAGGCAAAAATTTGGATGAAATAGACATTAATGTTGATACCTTAGTATCTGACGAAGAAAACGTATCCAATGATGATGATGATGATAATAAAGACCATAAATCTCCAACAAAAACATCTAGTGTTGACAAAACAGATAATAAACAAAATATAAAAGATATTAAAGACACACCTCCAAAAAAAAAAATGCGTAGAAGTAAATCTATAACCAATGAATCTAAAAATATGAAAAATGTAAAACCTAAATTCAACAGAGTGCCATGGACAGAAGACCAAAAAAAAGTGACCACACATTTTTTCCAAAAACATATCTTGTTGAAGAAAGCACCAAAAAAAGAAGAATGCGAAGAAATTAAGAAAAAATAAAGTTCACTATTCAAAGATAAACCCAGGAAAAAAATTAAAACTTTTGTCCATAATGCTTATAACAAACCCAAGCCATGAGTATTTTGAATTGTTTATAATTAATAGATTTTAATTAATAAATTAACTAGGTACCTATATATAATTATATATAAATATAATATATTTATATATTTCATATTATTTTAAACGTGTATAACTTTTATTATTCTAAATGCTGTTGTCTTTTAGTTAAATTAAATCACTATTTATATATTATATTATTATTTTAAACATTAATAATTTTTACTATGCTGGATGACAGTGTCTCATTAAAAATAAGTATCTTCTTATCTTTATTCAGTTTAATTAACTACCTAACTATTATTTTTATATACAATAGTTATTATATTATTTTAAACATGTATAACTTGTATTATGCTAGATGCTGATGTCTTAAATTCTTATAGTTGAAATAATTAACTATAATTTATATATTATATTATTATTTTAAAAATGAATACTTTTTACTATGCTAGATGACAGCGTCTCATTAAAAATAAGTAACTTTTTATCTTTATTCAGTTGAATTAACTAACAATTATTTTTATTTTTTATATATTATAATTATTATATTATTTTAAACATATTGTATAACTTGTATTATGCTAGATGCTGATGTCTTATACTCTTATAGTTGAATTAATTAACTATAATTTTTTATATATTATATCATATTATTTTAAAAATGTATAACTTTTATTATACTAGTGGCTTATTAAACATAATATGTAAAAACATTTGCAATCTTTATTCAGTAAAATTAATTAACTATAATTTTTATATAGGTACTATATACTTATGTCACATACAACTTTTCTATCAGTTTTATATTTTATTCAATAACATAAAAAAAATAAAAGTTTGTTGCAAAATAATATAAACTGACCTTATTAATTTTTACAATTTTATTATCATATTTTAATACAAAATTATATTACCTAGAGCCTGTTCCACCAACACACTTTGCAACTCTTCACTTTGCACTTTTCAATTTCTGAAAAGTGCAAAATGCAAAGTCTTTCCATTCCAAATAAGAGAATTGTATACTTTTCAAATATGGCAGGTAACGTTTTGAAAATTATGTTACCCTTACCACTTTTCAATTTCTTATCATGTTATCTAACAGCTGTTATCGCTTTTTACCTATGTGTACCTACTCGTTATATCAGGGTATAGACACTCTGTGTATTGGCAAAATCGGGTGACTGTGGCCTTGAGCACGGTCTCTAAGGGGGTGTGTCATATGTTATCATTTAAATAAATCATATCAATATTATCAGTCCACAGAATAATAATACAATATATTATTTCATTAACAATAAACCAATGTAAAATTACATTATAGTTTTTAATTTATATTAAAACAAAATCCTTATTCATTTTACCAAAATTTAATATTGATATACTTAAAATATGAAAAATAAATTATTTATCGTTATTAATCGTTTATAAAAATTCCGTAACAAAGAGGGATACACGTTGCTAACGTTCTATCAGATTACGGATACGGTACAACTTTTATAGTCCAATACATCATACCGTAGGGATACGTAAACCCTCACAGCTGATCGAGTGTCTATTCTATATTGTTCTGTGGTTATATCGTCGCAAACATGCATTACGTGCTTCTTGCTGCTCATTATATATTTATATCCTAACTACTAAATTTTAATTGTGTACGTTCTGATAAAATTACAAAGCAATTAAAAAATCAAAGTAAATTGATATTATTATTAAATGCGATCCGTGAAAGGAAAGGTGTGTTGTTCGGTAGTTTCAATGCTATTATCTACCTATTGTTGTGCACCATTTCCGAGCCAGTTCAATGTTGTCAATAGCTGATGTTCGGTGGTGATTGCTTTATTGCGTTTACTCGCATGAGTTAGAGTAGGTCCAATATTACTTAAAATAAACGCTACTTGATTTTTCGTAAGTCTGAAACATTGACGGTACTGACGGTCACATAATTCGAAGTATACTCGATCTCTATATACCCGTCGAGGTCTCTTTTCATCATAAATATCATAATTTATGAGCCATTCTACATAATTAACAATACCTACTACTACTGTGTGCTACTGTTGATCAATTTTTATTAAAAATAAATAAATTATAACTTTGCAATTTATTGTAGAGTAAAATATCTATCCTCATTTTTTATCAATGGTCAATGAAAAGTTTAAGAGCTTTTCATCAAAAAATATAACTGTGGAATGCAAAAATAGAAAATATAATGAAAAGTGGTGAACTTTTCACTTTTCAGTTTGCATTTTTCATTTCCACTTTTTTGTGGAACAAAAATACAATTGAAAAGTGAAAAGTTGCAAAGTGTGTTGTTGGAACAGCCCCCAGGTACTCATATTCTTCAACAGCGTGAACACAGTATAGGCACCTATGTATTACGTATAGATGTATACAGGGCCGGCTCTAGACAAGATGTATACATAGGCAAAATCAAAATTTGCCGCCCTTTCATTTTTGATCCCTCTATTATTATTATTATCCCACTATTATTACCCCTTGCCCCCCCCCCCATATCCTCAAACATATTTACGTCTACTTCGGGCTTAAGTCACAGTATACCTATACGTTATAGTCATAATTTATAATTCACAAAAAAATATTTTTATTCAACTATAGAAATATAAATAGTACACATTTTTGTTGAAATTGAAATACATTAAACTTAAAAACAATTTAAAGTGGTATAATAAAGAATCCAACATTTTTAATATTTATATAAATTTTATTTTTCTGGCTTTTAATGTTGCAAACTCTTCTATTATTTCTTCCATGTCCAATTTGTTTGATACATCCTTTTCAATTGAAAGAACTGCCAGACCAACTAAACGCATTTGACATATTTGGGACCGCAAATAGCTTTTAATAATTTTCAGTTTTGAAAATGATCTTTCGGCACTAGCTGCAGTTATAGGTAATGTCAGTAAGATCTTAAGTGCTGTGACCAGGTTAGGAAAAAGCTCCACCATTTTCCTTTTTCATATGTATTCCAAAACCGTGCGTGGACCACTTTTTTCAGTCCTTGAACATCTTTTAAATGCGATAATTTCTTGATGTAATTCTACAGCACTAATATCTGTGTTTAAACCGTCGTTAGAAGTGAGAGAAAGTTGTAGATCCTTGCAGTGTTTTAACAACTCATTTTCATCTTCAATTATTGATATGTTATATAAGAACGAAAATAAACTGTTATGCTCAGATAGCTTATCAAATCTTTCAATTATTGACTGAATACCTGTATCCAAAACTTGATAAAAAAAATTAACTTTGAAGTGAATTTCTGGATCATTTATAGGGTTATCCTGAGATTCATAATTAAAAAGAATCGCCTTACGTCTCGATCTTTGTAAACTATCAAATTTGTCATCAATTCCAACTTTTTTAGCAACTTCCTTTGCAGTTTTTAATGTTTTTTTTAAAACCTTCTTCAGAACGATAATCTTCCAAGAACTTTTTTGTGATGTTTAATTGGTTAGTAGCTTCTGATAGATCAAGCGAGGGTGATTGGAGAAGTTTCCTCGAAATATTAATTTCATATAAAATATCATACCATATTACTAAACACATCACAAATTTAAAGTCTGATATTTTTTTTTAAATTCCTTGGGCTTCAGAACGACTTTTAACACCAGATGCATTAGTTAAAGTGTTATCTTCTACAATATCTGACAATGCATCACATATTTCATTTAATTGGAATCTAATAGCTTTAACTGCATCCACTCTACTTTCCCACCGAGTAGCACTTAGTGGTTTTACAGTTAAACCGGGTAAATATTTAATCAATATATCCCAACGGTGAGTTGATGAAGAAAAAAAATTGTAAATTGCTTGAATTAAACTAAAGAACGAGACCGCTTCAAGGCAACAATTAGCAGAATCATTTAAAACTAAATTTAAAGTATGCGCATTGCATGGTACATAAAAAGCTCTAGAATTTAGTTCAAGAATTCTTGCTTGAACACCACTATGTTTTCCACGCATATTCGCTCCGTTGTCATAGCCTTGACCTCTCATATCCTCAAGTTTAACTTCAAATTCTCTTAATTTATCCAATAGGACTTTTGTCATATTAAATCTAGATGTATCATATAGTTGAATAAAATCTACGAAGTGTTCATTTATAGTGACTTCACCAGTATCTTCTGAAATCGTGACAAATCTGAAAATCATAGTCATTTGTTCTTTATTGCTAATATCTGGCGTACAATCGAGAACAATTGAATAGTATTTTGCTTTTTTCAGACAATTTAATATATGAAGTCTAATTTTTTTCGCTAATAAATTAATTATCTCATTTTGTATCTCTTTTCCAAGATAATGAGTGTGTATTTCATCGGAGGTTATTCTTCTTATAATATGTTCCTTCATAACTGGGTCAAATTTACCTAAAAACTCAACGAATTTTAAAAAATTTCCATTATTTTCTAAATTGAGTTTATCGTGAGTTCCCCGTAGAGCTAAGTTTTGATTTCCAAGTACTCTTATTAATGATATTATTCTTTCTATAACTTGTCTCCAATGTTGAATTTCCGTTTTTATTATTTTTTCATTTATATTGCCTATGGTTTTTGAATTATTTATTCTTATTTCTAGTTCTTTCCACTTAAGAAAAGATGTTTCATGATGTGGAGACCGTTCATGTTGTTTTAACGTTTCAGCAATGTTCTTCCAATCATGATATCCCTCTTTGCCTAAAGACGATTTTGTCTCATTAAATAATTTACAGCAATAACAAAATACAGAATCACCCGTACCGGAATATACTAACCATGATCGTTTTACCTCCATTCCATTACTTAATTTTCTAAAAAAATGATTGATTGTAAATCTTCGACCTGTATCATCTTTTGGGTACGATTTCGAATGTGTTTGATAAGGGCCCTTTTGAACTAAAAACATCCGTATTTTATCACAAATAACTGGCCACATCTTTGGATCTTTTAATAATTCAAGGTCAAACGAATCTGCAGGTGTATCTTCTACTAGACTAAAATCTTGATCATTTTGTTCAACCATTTCACAATTGGAATTATTGTGTAACGTTTCATCTTTTAAAATGGAAAGTGTTATGTTATTCGCTTCATTACCCTCAATCAACAAATCTTCATGGCATTCAATACTTTCACAATAATCTTCTGGGGAAGTTTTAGCTTTTAAAGTTAAATTACCATCATTTTCTAAGTTAGATTCTGAAACATGTGTTTCTTTTTCCACAAGAGCCTGCACATTATCACACACACCAGTATTGTCACTTTCAATTTCTGTGTTATCTGAAGAAATATTATTATTTTTATTTTGGGAGTTACTAGTTGGTACTGGTTGAAAAAAATTTAAAATTCGATCTTTTTGTTTAGATATTTCTAATTCACGTGCTATACGTGTTTTCTGGTATTCTGCTCCTGACAACCGAGTGCGTTTAGCGCTGTACGACATTTCAGATTTCAACTTTCTTTTTTCGATATTCTAAGAAAAAACTGTATATCAGTAAAGAAAAGTAATTTAACAAATGCTATTATGTTTAAATTGTTGATTAATTATTATTTTATTTTATTAATGAATTGAATAAATTATTAATACAATACTAATTAACGGAATATCAAATGTACCATTTTTTCAGACTAATATAGACCTATTTTAATTTTTGATATAGATTAAGTCATTAAGGTATAATAATATTGTATGCGATAATACAAACATCGAGTAATGATCGAATAACTTAAATAATATTCACGCTAACAACATATTATACCTATTATAACAATTATACACAAATATACATACAAATGATATAATATGCTAAATATGGGTACGATACCTGTAAGTTTTCAGCCACCGTTTTCAGTAAAAATATTGCAGGAGGTCACGACAAAGCGACGAGTGAAAAGCAAATAATATTATTGAGACGCATTGAGATGTGCTAGACGCTAGTAATTAGTATTATCAATTTATCATAGAACAAATAGAAGCGATTATCGTATTATCAGCAAATAGCCCGGCGTGTCGGCGTGTCGCCACGCCAAAAATAAACAATATAACAAATAATAATAATAGGTATCGTATATTATTGTCACAGAATAATTATTATTAGTAGTATGTTATTGTTATCGACGTTCGACCACCGCGACGTCGTCATTTCGGGGAAAAATCAATTAATGTTATACGTTATCTACATTTTATTTCGGTGTATTATACATTTGTACTTTTAAATAAACCGTCCCAACCAAAAATTAATTTATTTAATTTATATTAATTAAATCATTGGTATTTTAAAAACGGTTTTTGGTTTTTGCGTTAGCCTAAGTAGCAACATAATTATGTTATTCTAAATACGGCCCTTCCTACTATCAAGGAAATTCCGCCTCTTCCATAATGCCGCCCCAGGCATAGGCCTATGTTGCCTGTGCCTTCCGCCGGCCCTGGATGTATATTATAATAAGGCATAGTTGGGCTTGTTCAGTATGGCAACGTTGCAATGATCTCATAAAGTACAATTTTATTAAATATAACACATACCTGGATCCCACATAATAAGTTAGTTAACCAAAAATACACAGATGGATCTCATACAATGCAAGGTTTCTATCTACACACACTGGATCTCGGAAGGATGTATAGGGTCAATATATTTGTATGAGGGTTTGGTTATAATTATTATTACATTGAGTGTAACTATAAATTTAAGAACTTTTGTATTTTGTCCAAACAGGTCAAACGTGATATTTCTGGTGGATCCCATTAAGTACTTACATTGTTCTTTACCGCTTCATTGTTGCAAGAATTTAAAAGACTATCGTTGAATTGTGTGCAGACAAAAGCTCAAAGTGTCTTAGATTTTATTAGAAATAGAAATGGCGTTTCAATAATGACTTTCAATTGCCAAAGTCTTAACAGTCACAAATACGATTTACACGATTCCGTAACTAGACAAACAAATGTATTACTTCTAAGTGAAACTTGCATGTCAAATGATTATCCGATCGACATACCTAATTTCAATTGCATCGTTCATTTCAAACGAGATACTGTTTCACAGGGTGGGGTAGCCATTTACCAAACTAATAATGATACTATCAATAATATGACTCCGAATATAAATATAAATGTGGCAAATGTTGTAGATTTAAATGTTAGACACTAAAATGTTGGAGATTTTTGTGCGTGCTTATGCAAACTGCAAAATGGCCTAGAAATAGTCATTGTAGTCATTTACATTACTCCAAATCCAAAATATCCAGAATATTTTATTCATCACACTTTACTGGAGTACATTGTAGAAGGGTCAAAAATACTGGTGGAAATTCCCATAAATTTCCACTTATCTTGGCTGGCGATTTCAACATTAACTTCGCTGATAAAAAATCAGAGCGACTAACAACGTTTCTCTTAGAAAAATTAAATGTACGTATAAATAATGATCCACAAGAATCTACTACAAAATATGGGACCACCATCGACGCCGTATTTTCCAGATATTTGGAGAATATTAAATCTCAAACTTATATTTCATATTTTAGTTATCATAAGCCTATAGTTTCTATGATACAAATTCCTGAATAACTAGAATAATAAAAAAATTTAAAATTATATCAACTTCTTATTTAATTAATATGCAATAGCTTTATCGCGGCAGTCCCCGAGTGCCACTTGCCTTTTTTTATATTTTTCAGTATATTTGGCTTTCTTTGTTTAACTTGTCAAAAATTAAATTTATTTATATAAAACACCCCTAAGGAAAAACCTAGGAAATCTAGGTATAAGTACACAGAGATTCACCCATTTCGACATGTATAGCAATTTTTATTGAAATCAGAGTTAGACATCATCATTCGAATACAATTTTATTTAGATAATATTGTATTCGAATAGAAAATTTTTCAAATTATTATTTCACAATCATTCGAATAATTCAAAATAATATTATTCGAATAATTCGAAAACAATATTATTTGAATAATAAATGATTCGACTAATTTTCAAACATAGTCATTCAAATAATTTTCAGTTATTTTATTTTAGTTAACATAATATGGACATATGGTTAATATTTTGGTAATTAAAACATTTACGTATTAAAAAACAATAGTTAGCATTGTATTTTAAGTTTTGATTGTAAATCTTCTTTTATTTGAAATAAATAGAAAAATACTATAAATGAAACAAATATAGAACTATCTAAAGAATTTGAATATATTTGTATTTTGTATTAGCATGTTTGTAAATTATTCAATTACATTTTTATTCGAATAATTGTAAAAAAAATCATTCGAATTCTCATAGGTACCTATTTGAAAATTATTCGAATAATATTGTTTACGAATTATTCAAATAATTTGTTATTCGAATAATTATCTAGATAATATTTTGCTCAACTCTGATTGAAGACTAAAATTAATTAAAAATGTAATTATAAAAAAAAATTGGTAAATAAAATCAATTTTCTTAACTGTTTCAATTTTTGAATTTCGCTTGACGAATGTCAAACGTCGAATACCAAAGTCCGTCGATCTTTTGACTTAACGTATAGTATAGCCATCGTAAGAACGCTACTGGGCGGCGACCAAAATTCATCCGATCTCGCGCATTCCCACCACTAAACCTTCCCGAACGCTGGCCGCCGTCAACTCTGGCCGCCGCCACTGTCGCCGCCATCGCTACTGTCGCTGCCACTACTGCCTATTTACGGCGGCGACTAGATGGTAGAGTGGGAGAAACTTGGGTACGAAACTGCGGAGCTCGGTCATTTGGATGCGCGAACGAGTAGCGTTCTTACGATGGCTATACTATAGTAGAATGGCGTTATATATTTATAAGTAAAAATTCAAAAAACTATTCAAATAAACACGGAAAATAAATGATTGTCGCAACACTGTATATAACGTACATCAAAATAGTTTCTTCTATATCGAAGGCTTGCATTCGATGGTGTACTCGGAAGTACTGGTCAGTAAAATATATTCGATAACACGCGGGATATTGAATATTGTTTGTTTCATGCAATGACATTATTATTATATTATAAATTATAATTGATATTATATAGAGACTAATTATATTTTATTATAATGACAATAGTGAATAAACACCAAATGTACCTTGGTGTTTATGGCGCACTCTGTCGGTTTACTAAATCATCTGAATTTTAATACACAGCAAACTGACAACTATTAAAAAAAAATAGAATAGATCAAATTATTCAAATCTATATTATTAATTATTAGGTACCTATATCGTATCGAATCATATTTAATTTTGTCTATAATTTATGGTCTTGCATTACATACGTACGATTTAATATTGCATGGTTATAAATATCTAAAATATATATTTGTGATGAAGATTGAAATTTGAAGGTAGGTAATATTATTATAGAAATATAAAATTGACAATGGTTATTAATTTTTTTTCAAGTTTATTTTATATTATTATTAATTTATTCTATACCTATTTTACAATCACCAATTTGGATAACTTTTTTTTTTAGAGCTTTTATGTTGCTGTTCTCTATTATGCATACAAGAATATTGTCTCATTCTCATAGTTACCTAATATACAATTATATATGTTGAAAGTGAAGCTTGACGGACTAATGATGTTAGCATTAATATAATAAGTAATAACACGACAATATGATTATGTATAAGTATAATATATAATAACGTACAACTGGGCAATTAAACTGTGACAGTACACACACATCGTATACGCTCTGTACAACGACGCCTGTGCAAGTGAATATTACATACATCAAAGGCCCTATATATATGCACGACCGAGGTCATGTTACATCCGTAAAGAGAGTGAGTCTTATGCTCCTACATAACTAGTTACTATATTGTACACACGTGTCAAGGCTGACTACATGTACTACATATTAATTGTATATTTCAACAATATTACTCATGGTATCACTTTTATGTTCACTACATGGAAAGTAGAGATTGTTATTATTTTCCAAAAAAATCATTAACAGTATCATCAAAGGCACTTGGACTCCCACAGTGGTTTTTAAATGACTTTTCTAAAATTCAGTTCTGGCCGTGAACGTAGAGCCCAAGACTAGATATAAGTATTAAGTAATTGTGTTAAATAATTACATAGGTACAAGTAATTTGTTAATCAATATCCTATAAGTATAGATTACATGTATTTTTTTTTTATTATTTAATTTATAGAACAGTAATATTGAATGTACCAAATGTTTATACTACTCTACGTCAGCATTGTTTACCTCTGAGCCTAAGTTTTCAGAGCCATAATATGTCCTTTTAATGTCTTCAGTTTTAAAATGTTTGGCACATACAAATTTGACATTAGTTTCTCTGTTGTTAACCGCACAAACTACATTAATCCACTGAGATTTTAAGTAGTCATCTTTTGGTACTGAAAATAATGTTACACGTTCAGGTGTCACATTGGAATTGCGAGTTGAACAA